AATATGAAAGAGGCGAGGGGCCGAGCTACAATGTGAGAAAAGATACATAAAGAGGAACGGTCGAAAGAAGGAAGGGGAGCGAGAGAGATACACGGGGGACGAGAGATATACGGCCTCATAATTCGCTTCTAAACATCGCTAATTGCAGCGCTGACCCTCTAAATCTTTCGGGATGCTATCTTCCAGCTCGAAAATACCCTCCTCTCTCTCTCTCCCCTCCGGCCGCGTTACCTTTTAACCATCTTTGTTCCGGCGAGACGAGGAGGTGGCGCGAGGTACCTCGCTTACACGCTCTCTATTAACCCCGCCACGACTCGTCCATTTCTCAGATCGATGCGAGATACTGGTCCCCTCCTCTCCTCCTTCCTCCCCGGCTGCTTTTCGGGCGCAGCAGCCTCGAAGGCGAGGCGAGAAAATAAAGAAGAGAATATATATGTATATAGGTGTGAGGGAGGAAGAATCTCTCTGCGTGAAAAGCGGTGGTTACCTTAAACCTGGGTGATCCGCGATCTGGACGAATCCGTATCACGTGTAATTCCTGCCGGTTCTCGCGCGCGATAAACCTTGCCCTCGAACGAGGAAAATTGGATGAAAATTGAAAATTGAGTCACGGAACACCAGCCGTGGAAGAAGGAGCGAATAAGAGAGAGAGAGAGAGAGAGAGAGAAAGATAAGCTGAGCGTAATTATTTTGAATTCGTGCTGGTATTAATCTCTGGTAATGGAAATGATACTTTTCGAGAGTAATTTAAGAAAAAAAAAAGAGTTCTTTTCGATCGAGGAATTTTTTCACATACGCAATTTGGATTGAAATATCACGAACGAGGTGATTCTTCTGATCTATTTATCTTCGATTTCTTTTTAAAAAGAAAACTATATATACAGCTTTAACGAATTACTTCGTGAAATGTCGTTTGCGTCGCAAAGAAGAGGATTCGTTCAAAAAATAGAGGAATCCAGGGGGAATAAATGTACAGGTTCGTCAGCCACGTGGTGAAAATTCTGTGCAAGAAGAAAGCAAGTGGTTCCCGTCATTCTATCTAGGCTCACCTCCCCGAGACTTTTCTTGGGGAATCAAGGAGGGGACGAGGTTGATTGAAACAGGGTGAGAGGTATCTCGTTTAGTAATCTTGTCTTTTGTCGTTGGTGGTCGGTGGCTTTCTTTCCTCGCACCCGCCTCCTCGAGACTTGCAAAGCTCGGGAGGCAAGCAGTCGTCGATGAATCTCCTCCACCGGTTACCTTCCGCTCGGTTTCTTTGATTTCGCGCCGGGAAAACTGTTTTTCTTGTTACGACCGAGGTCGCTTAAGAAATCAAATGTCCAGGGACGTCTGTCGTAATCAGACGAGGAGGAATTGAAATTGATCGTTCCCTTCTTCCATTTTAAAATCGGTCGTGAATTTTTCTCGCGCCTCTTTCTGAATTTAAACCGAATCCGAATTTAATATTCTCCGCTTGTATCAGCTACTACGTCGATCGACGTAGCTATTCTTTTGCTTCTTTTCCCAATGAAGAGAAACGATCGGGAGGCAAATATTACGGTACGAAATCGCGAAAATTACGTGGGTAAAAAATGGGGTTAAATCCGATGTAGCGAAAAATATCGGGCCGGTTATAAATCTTGATTAATATCGCGGCGGGTTTTCCTCCGATTACACAAATTGCCTTTAAATTCCTCGCTTTGCTGCCGTCCCGAAGACGTGGCTGAAAAAAAGACTCGTGGAACACGGGAGGCGGTGGTTGCGTCAGGGTGGCGCTTTTCAATTTACTTTACGAGACGAAGGATTCTCTCGTGCCGCGGAACCAAAGGGATTTCTTTGTTTTATCGAGACGTAATGAAATGCGAGCCAGCGAATTTCCCCGATACGACGAGACTCCTCTTAACCCTCCCTTTATGCTTTTCTCCCTGGTTAAATAACACGCGTTTTCGGATCGACTTCTTGTATCCACGTCTTCACGTCGATGTAAATAATCATTCCCCGTTTCCAGACGTTGTTTGCAAACGGAAGTTAAATATTTCAATTAACTCACGTTCCCGGCAAATAAATGTTTTGCTCACGCTCGTGGGAACTCTCCCGTTGGAGAGTATCAATAACAAATTTCCGTGAAATAAAATCGTTCTTAAGATTTCCGAGATAATTTCTCCACGGATTCTAATTCCTTCAAAGATGTTTCGTTTCGTTTTCCATTTTTATTATTTTCCATTTGCGCAACGATGTGCCGTGCACGATAAATCATATAATTTTCGGTTATATTCATCGAATATTTCCCGAATATTTGTCGTCGAAAATTACTAGAATTTCGAGTTTCAATTTGAAGAAGGGACGTTTTCGTCCTAGAATAATACGTTTACCATCGAATCCAACGCGCGGCTCGTTTCCATTCGGTGCTCGTCGATTCGGCCGCGAGCCGATCGATTATTTTCTCGTACGATCGATCGATTGTAAACACTAGAAACGTCCAACGTTTCGTTTATCTTGTTCCCCGTATTTACTCGCGGCTCATTTCACCAAGGCTACCCATAACGAGAAAAAGAGAGAGAGAGAGAGAGAGAAAGAATCTTGAAGAAGAATGGGAACGGATCCTTCGGGAGCCGGACCAGAAGACGAGCCGCGCGGTTCGTGTTTGTCGAACTTATTTTGGTTAAGTCACGTCTTCAAAACAAACCCTGTGACACAGTGTATATAGGACTGGGACGGGTGATAAGTCCAGTTTCGTGACGAATACCATTCCCCCTCGGTGGAAAAGCCTCGACGAGAAAGAGAGAGGGAACGGATTGCACTTGGATGCACCCTCCAACTCGGTCCGTGTGTTTCTTCTTAACGTTCGTCGTCAACATCGTGGTGGAACGCGGACCTCCCGGAAGGTACATCGTCACTGGCGTCCACGGATGATATTTCTTCCCAAATGAAAATACTCTCAACTGGTTTAACCGAAAAATTACGCGTTCGAAAGTGTCGAAATACGCTATCGACTATATATATATTGATATTTGAAATATATTCTTTCGAAGTCTACTCTTCGATCGTTTAAATTCCCGTGGAAAATTTATTCCGAATCGACGTTAAAATTGCAGGAGGAGAGAATTGGCTTTCTCGTAGTAATCTCATGACGAATGCGTGAAACGGTGGCGAAAAACGTGGCGAAAATCCTATTTATTGTTGACACCGCTTAGAGTTCCATTAGAGAATCGCGACGAGACCGTCTCATTTGCATGTAACGAGGTTGTGGAGGGTCGGGGCGAGGTAATCCCTTCGAGGTGAAACAATAAAATTCGAAGGGCGGGAAAAATGATTCATATTCCGTATTACCGAGGAGATCTCGCATTTTATCATTAGAGCGGGGGGTTCGCGCGAAGGAACAAGCTGGTCTTTGAAAGAATCGGCGCCGGGGTCAACGGGCTGTCACCGAGAGGATCCAGTAGCCCGTAGACTTAATTTGAATAACCTTCATTAATCATCCAGCAGGAGGCAATATACAATATTCTCTCCTCTTTGAACACCCTTCTCCAACCTGCTGATCCTCCCTTTCGCTCCAACCTCCGCCGATTTCGAGTGTCACGAGACTCGGCCCCGCGTATCGGGCCCCCATTGAAATAACATTCACGGCTGTACACGGTTAATACGAGGGGAGCGTGCAATTACGATTGTCGCTGTATACCTTCTTTGAATCGGTTCCGCGAGGGAATAGCAAAGTAAACGCGCTAATTGCTCGATGAACGAGCGCCGGAAGAAGCGTGTCGGGATACACATACGTATGTGTATGTGTGAATGTGTGTGTGTTTCGTCGTGACAACGTCAATTACGCTTCTTGCACGATCATCTCCGTCTAATTAAACACGATTATCCTTGCGAAACTCGATTCGCAAATGGGACTAAAGCAACAATGGATCCGATACCACCACCCTTTATAATCTTCCAGCCAATTTTATATCCAAATATTTAATAGAGATCGATGCCGCTGTCCTGGAAGGAAGAAGCAGACGCGAACGAAAAATGGTTTCATTTTTATTTAGGATCGAGTCATCGCGGATCTCTCCGCTGCGTTTGTATGAAATAAAATCACGGAGAGGAGAGAACGTTCCTGGTCGAGGTGAATCGAGAAATCGGGGCGGATTTTTGCGCGCGTGCACGCGGGGGCGAGATAGGTGGAGCGTTGCACAGCCAGTTGGAAATATCATTGGACGATTAGGGGCGCGCCGCGTTCCACGGCGACGTCGGTTTAACTCGGTGTCACGCCACGGCAATGGGAAACGTTATTTCTCGTGTTTTCGCGATACGTTAACAAAAAAACACGAGAGTTTCTAGTACGTACATATTATCGCTGGGTGATTTTGCCCTGGCGGCAGGGCGGGGAAAGCGGCCTGCCTGGAATCTAATTGTTCGGATACACGCATTTCACCGACCGCCACCGACACACAACCACCCTCGTCGTTTCCCTTCTCGTCGTGTACGTACGAATTTTAAGCCCTCTGCATACCGGCCCAGTTCGATCAATTATCAATCAATCGTTGAAAAAAAATTTTAAACTTCGTTGCGTTGGAAGTTTGAGGAAATAAGCGTATTAAAGATTAAAAGGAAAAACAAGTGATAATAATAATAATAATAATAATAATAATAATAAAAGAAAGGAGGGAAAAACGCGAGGACATTATCTGGTTTCCGAGAGCGTGTCCGAGTGTGTATCGTTGCTTAATTGTTTCGAATCTGTAAGGGTTGATGGAAAAGACCAACGGGGCGTGGAATTAGATTAGATCTATCTGGAGAAACGAGGCGAGCGATACGATATTGGTAAGCGAAACGCGTGTACGGGATTCGTGTTTCGCATAATTCTTTATTAATGGATCGTTTCGTCGAGCGACACGAAAGCAGAACGATACCCTTACGCGATTCGGTTAATTGGCTGCTCACGCAAAACGGACGAATTACGATACGAACTACGACTTTTTATAAAAAGTTTCGATCCAAGTGTTCAAAGTTGATATATTGTTGATGTATATTCGGTGTGTAACGACCTTTACGGTATACACGAGTATACCGCGTGTATGAGCGCGTGTATATACGTGTATGTACGAGCACATGCACCGAGGACACACGCTCATTATTCCGTACACGAGGTTTCGATCAAGCGCCACGAGCCACCGGGATTGTTTTAATGAAACCATTTCCTCCTCCCTTCCCTCCTAGCTTCTAGCCGCCATTTTCTTCCACCCTTTCCTCCTACGTCGCTTCCTCCTTTTTCTTCCTCGATACCTCCGCTTTCTTCTTCCGCTTCCCTTCGCGGTCTGGTTACCACCATCCACGATGCACCAGGCAAGAAGAATGGTCGATTGATGGAGCAGATAATGGAGCTGCCAGGACGCGGAGACGGTCATGTCCGCAGGAAGCGGCGTTTGGCATCCTCGATTTAAACTCGATGCTCGAGAAAAAACGCTTTATTATGGTTTGAAATAATTTCGAAATGTGATGGCTTTTCGTGGTGACGCCACGTCTCGCGTCTTCTCTGAGATTGTGTCCCAAATCCGGCACGATTAGACGAATCGCGTCCTTAAATGATAAAGTAAATTTTATTATGTATTCATTTACGTTGCGATACGTTTCGAACATGATGAACAAGAGAGGTAGAAGAAATTTGCGACTTTTGTACGAGTTCTCATAAATTGAAAAATATTCTACCTCGATCTCGTCGCTTACTTTTCACGGAGATATTAAAATTAATCGGATGGTGGCTCGAAGGTGATTCAATTTTGAATTGGAACAAAAGGAAAGATATATCGCCGGTAATCTCGATCGTTTTTATTCCGCGCGAAACTGCGTCACTGCGAGCAGCCACCGATTCGAAGCGGTATACCGTGAAAAATATCATCCGTGGTTTGGAACAGCGTAAAAGTTGACAGAGACCGTGGCCTGTCGCGCGAGATGCGTCCTTATTTCATAACGGCGGAGCGTAGAGCGGGAAAAGGGAACGACACTTTCATATCTTTCCGCGCATTAATATCGCGTTACGACAAGGAGAACCGAAATCTAGGACACCGCGTCGGCCAGCCACGAAGAGTAATGCGCTCAGACGCGAAATATTAATGGGGGAGCTCGCCTTCTCCTCTCTCGCCCCTCACCTGTCTTATACTTTACGCGATCCTCCGAATCGATTCACGATTTTATCGTGGTATACGCATCAGTCTCGACTGGAAGAAGAAGAAGAAAAAAAAAAGAAAAAATAATTGCAATAACAATCGATCGAATCGTTTCGAGTCGAAGTGGAGAAACGAAAGGATATTATTACGCGAAACTCGAAGATACCCGCGCGAATCTCGAACCTATTCCTGAATGTTTCATCGCAATTACAGGTCTGAAAGGCGGAATATTGTCCCGATTATCCTCGAGACAGGCCGTGACCTCGTTCGTTTGTACCGGTTCGCAGACGTCGCTTTCCTGTCTACCGGCAGAAATGACCGAGAATCGGAGAGACAGGCAGAGAGACAGAGAGAAAGAGAGAGAGAGAGAGGGAAGGAGAGAAAGAACGGGACAGAGACACGAGCTAGTCGACTCTTATTTGCACAGCATGTATATTTAATTTACCTTGCATATACATGTCCCTGGCTGGCGGAGTTTTTTTCCTCGCCAAGTTGGCCACGGAGCGACGAACGCCACCCATTCACAGCGCGCTAAACTTTTAGGGATTGCGCGCTCCCGCGCTCGTCGGAATATATTTGCATGCTCCAGTTTTTCCGCGTTTTTATTTACCCTCCAGTCGCGGGAATTTGCGGTTTCCCGAGTGGCGCGACCCTTTTCTTCCTTCGTTCGCGTCACTCCCCTCCTCCCTCCCCCGAAAAATTCCCGCGAAACGGGGGAACCGAAGGCGACCGAAGGCAAGAAAACCGGCTCTCTTCTTGGCGGCTCGTTGTTCGTAATCGGTGGAAACGAGCGCAACGATCAAAGAAAACTCTCGGTGGAACGCCTCGTCGATCGGGAACAACAAGTCGAATGGAACGACTTGTGAAAACGTCGTGAAAGCGAAGCGTGCGTGTGTCCGCCGCCTTCGATAAAGTCGACCGGCCGGCTGGATTTACACGGAGAGACAAGAAAAGCGAGGAGGAGGGAGAGTGAGCGATACCGTTTGATATTTATGGTCGGCGAGTGGTGGTGAATTAACGGCCGGTCGATACTTCATCAACGTTAATGTATTAATTGCGCGTTTAATTGCCGCGCTGCTTTGATCGAGCGTTCCTCCTATCCGTACCGGGCAAATCGAGCAGAAATCGCTCGTTTAGAAAGGAACGAGCGTGGAAAGGTGTATTTGTGCGCCCCGTAGTTTTTTTTTTTTTTTTTGCTCGTGGCGTGATGCAACCGGCGTTCGCTCGCGCTGCCTTTTGTCGAGCCACGGTCGCGAGCCTCGCCGCCCTCGAGTTGCCGCGCATTCAGCGATTTTAGGAATTGGAACGAGCCGGGATGCAAGTTGGGGAAACCGCTCTCTTTTTTCGCCCCGCGATCTGTGCCTCGCGTACGTATCTTATCTTTCATATCGGAAAAAGCTACTTCCCCGTGAAAAAAACCGAGCGAACGTGGAAGGAGAGGATTCGTAGAATTCTGCTGCCCCGACCACCGTCGAGTTAATACCGAATCTCGTGTACATATCTGATAATAAAAATTCAACATCTGCGATCATACGATATACTTTCGCTTCGTATCGCGCCTGTTATATAACTTTGCCCCGTATTCGCTACGCTCGTTCTATCGGTTATAATCGTGCGAGGGAATTGGAGGGAATTAAGGTAAGATTACTCATTGATTCGGTAAAATATCGATCGTTCCATCGATTATTGATCCATTAACCGCGCTCGATTTCCATTGCTTGCAACGCATCGATAATCGCACGCCTGAATACCTCTCCTCTGCGAAAATTTTCTAAAATGCTCGCGAAAAAAAGCGTAGTATTTCTTGACGCGCGTATTCGATCGCGTTAATGAAAACATTGTCCAGAGTTAGCCGGGTTGGGCGAAACGAGCGGGTTGTAGCGCACGATCCTCGTGACACATGGACGGCCTCGTCCGGTTGAACACGCGGTGCTCAACCGGTCTGCGACGACGCCTGTCCTTCCTATCGGCGTCGATCGGTGCTCGCGGAAACACGCCGGCCGAAATTCGAACACGGGCGGATGTGCGAGCCTCGTCGAAAACCCTCCCTCGACCGCGTTGTCCATCGCGCTTCCCCGGCCTCGTGTGTTAACGTGCGCCGACCGATTTCTAGGTGGAAAATAGAGTGGCGGTATTGGAGGGTTAATGCGGCGCGCGAAGCCGCCACTAAATCATCCGGAGAGCGAAAAGATTAAAGGCGTAACGAGCGACGGGTGGATTGGATCGCGGGTGGCGGTGATAATCCGGACGAATTCGACGAGGCGTGATCCGTTTTAATAAATAAATGGACATCGGAGAGCCGCGTCGATTCGTTTTCGCGATCGTTTACACCTGTCCTCCTGTGGAAACGCCTCCGACTCCGTTGCGGATAGCTAAATTTTCAATGGGGGAGTGGAGGGAGGAGTGGATGTCCGAGGCCAATCGACAACATTTGGGAGGAGAGTCGATTCTCGTTGGATCCTCGTTGAAGCGGCGGCCTGATTGCGAGTGGGTCGTTGTCTCGATCTCCCGCGTGTATTATTAATCGGGATCGGGAAAAATATGGATACACGGGACTGGGAGGATCTTTAATTAGAAGATCAATGGGTTTTCGCTGTGCTCCGTGTGCTGAGTAATAAAGATGGAATACGCGGAGGGGGAGGAAACGATATTTCGCGCGTGGTGGGTTGAGTAAAGATTCTCGTTCGTGAAATTTTTCTCGTTAATCGAATCTCTCGTGATCCGCGCGATAACTAATTGGGGGATCGATCGATGAAAAGTTGTTCGAGGAAAAGTTGGGAGAAGAAGGGGAAAAAAGGGGGAATTGTTGTTTAAAAATTGAAAAGTCGCTCGTTCCGCCACTTTGTATCGTTTTCCGCGGGAAGACTGATCGGCGGAAGTTGATGCAAGTTGCGCGAGAACCGGAAATAGGTAGGAGTTAGAAATTACACGCGAAGTCGAGCATTGATTCCGTCGAAAAGTCGTTTTCTATAGATACCATGGAAAGGTCGGCGCCGCGCACAGGTTATAGTACGGTTATTGGCACCGACTTTTCACACTGTTAACCTATCTACGCTCGCATTCTATCGAATGCGTATTTCGATCGATTGGCTTCGGCCAATGAAAAAAGTTTCTCCTTTATCGGGAAAATATACAGATAAATCTATAAATCTCTTCGTGTTCATTTCTTCTGTTCAATTCTTCCATATATTCCATATATTCTTTCTTCCTGCTGGGAACAATTATTTGCTCAAAATTCCGATTACATGGTTTAACGAGGCACGTTTCCGAGAAAACGGAACGGAATTTTTCTTCCATTCGTGGTAAATCAAATAAACACCCATCCGAAAAAACCAAAGATATCGCGTTGAGAACACACCGCAATGTCCTCGAAGAGATAGATAGATATTCGGAACAGTTATCGTCGTCTATATGTACATAAACTTATCGCTAAGCATACCATGAAAACGCGTTAAAAATATCCTCTTATTCGCATTTGTCTTGACACGAGAACGAGTCATCGAGCACCGTTCAAACGATCTTTGTGTAATTAATTTATCTTAAAAACAATAGACCATAAGCTTCATCTTACCGACAAATATTTCGTACTTTCCATAAACTTTTACCGCCAATTTGCCCTATGAACCTTGATATCCACGTCACCTTCCTACGGGACACCGTCGGAATTATATACCGATAATTCCATCGTCGTTATTAACAACCTTCTGGGTCAACAACTGTTTCTCTCCTTCTTCCGCTGCGATCACACTAATTCCCGTTAATTATTCGGATAACGGAAAGAGAGAGGAGGAAGAAAGAGAGAGAAAAAGAGATATAAAAGCGAAGAGAGAGAGAGAGAGAGAGAGAAAGATAGCATATCGCGCGTTTGACGTGACGGCTCGGCCACGTTTAGGTACACGAGATCGACAAGGCGGAATTAACGGCACGCTCGTTGGCCAATCGGCCACGTCGCGATATATTTCCCGGCGCGAATTATTGCCAGGGCCGAGTTAAAGCCGGAACCAAGCGTATCGTAACAGGTAACATCGTTGACCCGCGATTAGTAACGGCGGGCAAGAACGTACGGCCGATTCTAATCAGTCGTCACGCTTGTGCGTACGTAACGATGTCGTTATCAGCGTCTCCGTACGATTTCACGTCGTATCGCGTCTCTCCTCATCCTCTGTCTCTTTCGCTCTCTCTCTCTCTCTCTCTCTGCTCCACGAGATAATCGCTCGTAACGCTCTCCGTTACGCTTTTGACAATGATTACGCTCGTTTGTCGAGCCGAACGAGGATCGCTTCGTCATCCGTGGAGAGAAGATATATTTCGCGAACGTTCCTCCGTCGATCCACGCCTCCTTCCTTCGATCGTATAACAACGAGAGAGAGAGAGAGAATCGATGAGAATCACCGCCGGTGATTTCTTTCTCTCGTATCGAAGAGGTCGAACTAGTTTTTTGCTCGTGGCGACAGGCGGCCCCCTCCGACACGCGCTTAATCCCACCACTTCTTCCTTCCCTGCACGTGATTTCCGGATTACCAAAGTGGAACAAAATCTTCGCCCTCCTCCCCCGTGTAGATTTAAATTAGCCTCGTGCTACTTGGCCGGTTGGCTACTTACACCTAGCGTGACTGTTGAACATGCTCGGGACACGACCGACTAATTCCTTTCGACATTTGTTTCCCTTATCGATCCCCCCTAATCGGGGGCCGCGAGCGTGCAACCAAGGGGGGAAATTATTGCGCGACACGCGGGCCCAGATGTCGAGCAGCTTTTCGACAATTTTCGGAAAGATCGTCGGCCGTGGACGAAGGGTGGAAGCATCGGGATACATCGCCACGATGACTCCGCGTGACACGGACGCATAAAAAAAAATTTCCTCCTCGGATTAGACATAAATTTCCGGGGAGTTTCGCGTGTTTTCACGGGGGCGTGGAGGCTGTCGGCAATACCTCGTCGCAGAGAAAGTAGCCACGAGTAGAGAGAGAGAGAGAGAGAGACAGAGAGAGACATGAATATGTATGTCGCGACCGGCTAAGATACGACCTCTATCGCGTTCATTCGCGCGACTTTTAATATTTAACCCCGTAAGAGGTTATCTATAACCCGCGCCCCGCCTCTCTTTTTAGTATCATTTCGACGGCGCTTCGAAAGCTCGCGAAATCGGCGATAACGGTTGAAACTAGGCGACGAGGCGGATAATCGGTGACGAGTTTATCGGCGATGCACTGGTGCCGGGTCGTTGGCGATAATTTTACCGTTAGTTGGAAAGGAAGAGAATTTTATTAATCCGGTGGAGGGACGCGGACGTGAATAGATATCGGGAGAGAGAAATGGAAAATGGCTGGTTGCAAAACAGGAAACGGCGACCGATCTGGATGATACGGATCGAAGGGGCTTTAATAACGGGCTCCTGTTATAATAGCTGACAGACTGTATGGAGAAGTTGCTATGGGGACACGTTTCGATTATAGATACCCTTCGCTAACTGTCGCATTAGATCGATAAGATCCCCCTGGACGATTAGTTAATTAGACGGGGAAGACGTCTAGGAGAGGATAGGGAGTCGAGCATCTTCGCGTATCAATTATACATATCGAACATCCGCTCTCTTTTCCCGCTTTCTCGCCCGAGTGAACGTGTCGCGGATGGAACGAGAGGATTCGAGTACGAGAGTTACCTCATCGTCGTCGTGTTTTTCACGCCAAGTTACATCGTTCG